AACAGGCTGAGCATGGCTGGAGCATGGCTTTGGAGTGTTTTGGGGGGTTCCAATCTTCAGACCCGAACGAGCTCAAGACACCTTTGGACTTCTTGGCTCCCTTTTCAGATCCCCCCACCATCCTGTAGCCCCCACCATCCCATCTTGAGCTAAAAGAAACGCCGGTTCCCGAGGACCCCAAGACATTCCAACCAAAACGCCACGAACAAAAACGACCAGCCACCCACGTGCACCGCGCGCGTGTTTTTGTCCGTGCACCGAGTCACAGCGGTACCCTGGAGCATGCTGGAAGATCGACAGGACATTACCTCGAGACGAGACGTCTGGCAGCTCCGGGTTTCGGCGGCTAGGTGGTGCAAGCGGACTTGGCCAAGTGGCACATGGGCCAGCGGATGTTATATAGGCTTTCATAGGCTTTCTACTCCTCAGTTGAGATCCTTTGAGAATGACCCTTTCGGATGGCTGGCAAAACGAAAAAGGAAAGCAACATCTCTGCTTGCATGGCCTCTAAAGCCCCTACAAGAACCCCCAAAACATGAGATGAGTTGCTCTCATCCAGCAGTGGTGCACTGGATGCGAGGCTCAAGAGAAGCGCCGTTCGCATCCTGTGGCAACGGGATCGAAGCAATCAATCGCGAGCCGCCTCACTGCTGAGTCCCGAAGCAACAAAGGATGGTCGATTGGTTAAAGGGCCTAAGGCGGCCCAAGGAAAATCTACGCAAAAAACGATGTTCACATATTATCCCCACAAAACTACGGATTTAGATGTTCCCTCAAACGAATTTTGAGAAAAGGAAGATGAGGACTTCCTCTACCCAGCAGCCTATAGGTGAAAGGAAACAAGAAAAGCTAATTCATGGCGGTGGCGAAGAACAATAAGGAGGCATGAAGATTCCAGGGACCACCCACGAAGACACTTTGAACCAGCTTGAGAATAGTAGACATTCACCATGTTGCAGGTGCCCTATGAGTCAAGAAAACCTGGACGCCTTCAAGGCAGAAGAGCCAAACCTTCGGATTCGGAGGGGTTTTCTGACTCAATGGTCCCCTGTCGGTCACATGCACGCTCATGGCTTCCGAACACATCCATCAAACATCTTCAGACCATTCATGTAGTACATGCAATAGTTATATAGATCCATTCATTACGTAACATCATTCAACCCATGTACGACCCATCCATGGTGGCTTTCTTTTCTTCCAGTCCCATCGGTCTGGCATCTCTCAAAAGCACACGTTTCTGGCCACTTCGCCCGGCCAGTGGTCACATTGGACGGGTTCGGAAGCAAAACCACCAGGCTCCATGGGGCTTGGTCTCCTCATTTCGAACCACTCGAAGTCCGAAAGAGGCCTTCTGGGTCTCCTCGAAGTCCATGTCCGAAGCGTGGAGACTAAGTAAGCAGGGATGAGACAAGGTCATACACTGGAGGTAGAGAACATCGGTCTGCAAGAATGGTTTGCAACGGTGCCTGGCTCATTCGGAAGGAAAACACAATTCTTCAAAACCCCTGGCTTGACAATGACCAGGTGATACCAGGTGTCATGGGAATACGCCGTCCGGTCTGGTGGTCTCGTGCCATGTCGCTCAAGTCATCCAGCCAGTGGCTGCGGACGAGGACGCTGCGACACCCAGCCCGACACGAGAAGTTTCTCCGGCCGCGATTAAGACTCATCGGGGCAGGAGGCCATCGCTATTAGGGTGAGCAAATCCACGCCAAGCCCAGGAGATCATCTGGTCAGCGGCTCTGAGTTTTGAGACAACGACCCCATTTCTTTTCGGTAGGCCAAATATGTCCTGGACACGCTCCCAAAGTGGTTCATCGTAATTCCTCCATTCCCTTGGAGTGGATCAGAACAGAACCCCGATGGAGTCTAAGTCTAGGTGCTTAGAGGCTGAAGGGGGGCTCCATTCACGACTTCTGCCTCTGAAAATCAGGAGCACTCGCACTCTTCTTCGGTCAGCCAGTCTGGGCTCTTGATCCAAGGGTTTTCTTGCCCTACTCCTGCCATTACTTCTACTGGTTGTGCAAGTTCACCTGGTTTAAGACTCTATTTGAAACACTCAATCTGGAATGAATCTGGGGTTCCCCTCAAGTCTCCCTCTTGACATGTGCAGACTTCTTCTATACCAGTGTAACAGTAAGCCAGCAAAGCACCCAGCAATGTGGATGCATTTCGCCTTATCAACCCAATTCATTAAGCTTGCTTCATGTTGCTTCTGGATCTTTGGACCCCAAAAACAGTTGCTTCACCCCGCCCAAGCAGCGGGACAAGCTTCCCGGGTTTCCCCGTGCCGGTGGACCGGGCCTTGCTGTCGCAAGTCCTGCAGGATCTGTGCCGGAGTGCGCTCGGGAGCCCCACGGGCCGTGGGCGGCAGTTCCTGGCGTGTGCAGCATGGCAAGTCGTCTGCCTACGCCCATGAATCGAATCTTGAAATTCCAGGACCACGGGACTACGGCACGGGTGAAGTGAATCACCTCGCGTTTGGAAAGAAGTCTGTTTTTCATGGTTTTTCAGCCGAATGGATGTACCTAAGAATGGCTCACCATCTCTCATTTTCTAAGTAGGTTGGGCCTGCATCGCTGACCTAATGGTTTGCGGACGCGGAAACGAGAGCAACAAACAAACAAGCAAGCAAGCAAGCAAAAAAACAAACATACATGCATGCATGCATACATACATACACAAAACTGTTAAGGATGAACGGTTTCCTGCTGTGGAGGGTCCAAGGATTCTTAAGGCAAAAGCAAAAATGTCCCTTTCACAAAAGGCATCTCAAAAGATCCTTTTGGGTTTTCTGGGGAGAGGCGCTTGCGAAGCGTTGCTCAAGATCTTTCAAACTACAAGAGTCTCTTCTCCCTCCACTCTCTTTGGACATGTTCGCTCACCTGCTGGTTCATCATCACCGCCACCACCTGCATCTCGCTGCCTGCGGCCTTCGAGCAAAGAAGGGGTGCCAATCCCAGCAGATCCCTACTGCCTACACTAGATATATGACTTTGGAAGCATGAACATCTGCAAACTGATGAAGCTCAACTCAGCTGGGTGAGGTTCAGGTCCTTAAACATGTCAATGTGTTTTTGTTTAAAGCAGCAATGGTCCCTGAGGCAAAAACCAGGAGCCGGCAAAACAAATAACATCACAGATGTCTGTTTAGCAGGTCTCTCGTTTTCAAGATAAAAACACAACACATTATAACCATATGTATACCAGCAGTTTCAAAGGAGTCCTTCCTCTCCAAGTTTGGCACCCAACAGAACTGCTGGTACCCCCAGTTCCAAGCATCGTGGACCGGACTTTCCACGCTATTCCCTGGGAAGTAGACACCGCCGTGGTCGGCCCAAAGGGTGGTCGGTCTTACATTACAACTGACTATTGAATATAGAACCTGAACGGATCCATCGTTTTGCCCTTGTAAATCCGACACCGACACGCTCTCACACACGCCACCGACACCGATCGCCGCCTGACTGACGCCAATGAGCCGGCTCTGAGGCGCCGAGGCAGCGGCCCAGGCCCTGGAATCGACCGTTTCACCCGTCACGACCGACGGGGACGGGGACAGATGGTGTAAGAACTCCAGAAACGAAGAAACACCTAGTACAACCCAGTGTACAGCCCTAGTGGCTCGGTGTAAACTTTTGAGTTTCTGTTCGAACCCTAGTGGCCCTAGTGTTTCCTTGTTTCGCACAGAATGAAAAATGACTTGACATCAATTATGAAGGTCAATCTGCCAATCGTGAGGGTCACCCTGGCATCTCACCCTCCCTGTTTTCAGGGTCCCTTCCTCACATCTTCACCCACCATGAAAACACCAGGCTCTGAGACCACCAGCTACCTGGACATCCTGGACGGCCGGTGGAGACCGGTGGTGAACTCGTACGAACTCACGGTGTTCTCTTCACTAAACCATGATGATTTCAGAGCATGTCGATTTGGTGGAGCCCACTGAAACACAAGATGTTGGCCGTCGACGGCGGAAAGAAAGCAGTGACAAAAAATTGAACTAATTGAACCGTCCCCCTTTCAGATACGCACTCAAACAACTTCTTGCTCCCCAACTAGATCCAAAGCACTCGAAACACTTGGCTTTTTGAGCCCTCGACCCCCCAGTCCTCCAGTCCCAGTCCCCGACTCCACCTGGCTGCAGCAGCCACTCGAGCGGCGCCGGCCGTTCCTGAGGGACCGATGGGAGGGGCGTTCCCGAATGGGCAACCATGGTTCAAGTGGGGTTGCCCACCCTATTTGAATATGGCATTGAATATATAGATATATTATATATATATATCCCAGACAATCCATGTATGCCATAGATGCTTACAGTGGGATATTTTTTTGAAATGCATGTATGGCAGTACCATGTTTATGGCAGTACCATGTTGTATGGCAGTTGGATTGATTAAAACATGTCCAACCTCAATAGGGACACCTCACTCTTGCACCTGGCTGGTTAAACTCGGTCTATTTTCCCTTCACCCAAACCGGAGTCGTTGCCTCAAAGGTCTCAACATTGGACGACACACACACACACACACACGTCTGTGGCCCAGGGGGGGGTTCGTGGCACCCGTAAATGGCTCCGTCCGACCGTCGATTCTGGAACACCATCGGTGGGCTGAACGCGCAGAATCGACGACCGGCCGTTAGGTTGTACACTTGGGGTGATCCCCTCTGCCTCTATGAACCCATGGCCGTCAATGGCTATCTATGGAGCCACTCGCAAGGAATGAGGCTGGATCATAAGGTATCTCGGGCGACTAAGCCGTCTTGATTGCCTACCGGTCGCTCCAGTCTGATGTGTTGATTCCGGCGATTTCATAGATGACATTGGTTGGAATCAAACGTACCTCAGGGTGAATCTAGTTGAATCATTCACTTCAACTTCAACATGCTGCACTTCTTGAAATCTTAGTTACCCTTTTGAGCATCATTGGACCCTCCGAACTGGAGGGTCTTGACCCATGGCTTGGACCCTGAACACCTGCACCTTTCAGGGTCCCTGATTCTTAAGGTGAATCTACTACTGGCTTTATATTATGTCAACAACTGCAAATTTGAAGATTGCTCGTTTTTTTGCCAATGCCAATGCATCCCGCCCACCAGAATGCAACACTGGTGATGCACACAACTACAAATATCAACAAACAGCAATCTCCTCCACAACTTTTCGACACCATGATCTCAGCCAGATCTTGCGCATGCGCAAAAAATGGCTAGACCGTGCAACAGGCTGGTTGCTGGTCTTAAGTGGTACAGTTTTGACAGTGCCCACCTACAGTTGGCATAGCTGGTCAAAAACGCTGCATACTCTTTGATTCCCTGAAAGGCAGGGTTTAGATAGACGCACACCCTGCTAGCATCTGTTACGATTACTGTATGGCCAGGTGGTTTATGTTTCAGAGCCCAAATGCCGCAACATAGGGGACTCATCAAAGAAGCTAGTGTGTCGATAGTCTTTGGATGTCTTTGGTAGAATCGTTTTTTGAAGGGTGACCTGACACACCTGGCTAAGCATTAGGTTGGCAAGGGTGTTCACAAGGACAACACCGGGTAGGACAACAAAACGACCCGGGGAAGAAAACATGTTGTCTACAGTATAAAACCAAGCATATGCCTCCGAGTGGCATGGTCATTGAGGTGCACATATTGCTTTGGAGATTCCAAAGAAAACTCTTCATTTTTGCTCACAGCTTCAGAAGCCTCACCAACAAGTCCTAGACATTCAAACATGAAACAAAAACAACTCCCTTGAAGGCCATCTGCCTCACCTGCCAGGCTTCGTTGCTTGATGGGCTCCGGCAGTTGTAGGAAGTCTGGTGGCTCGTCAGGACTGTGTAAAGGTCCTGACCGCCACGAGGTCGTGGCCGAAGTGGAGTGCGGAACAGAATTGGACACCTCCCGCCTGGCGGCCTGGCGAAACATGTGCTCGTGCTCCAATGGCGGCTGAAGAGTGCTCAAACCCGACCAATTGCTCTGGGTCAAAACCGATGTTGCTTTCGTTGATCTCACTGGTGTCGGTCAAACCGAGTTGTACCGAAGAATGGAGGACCGGCCCAGGGCGAAGATGGGTCACGACCCATCCATTGTAAAAGCTCTCCAATCTTCTACCAGGGGTGGGTCATCACATTGGTATATCCAGTATATCCCATTATATGCCAGTAACAGTGGATGATGATGGGGCCTGGTCACAGGGTCGACATCTCTTATTTTCTACAGAGTGATGTTCTTGACCCGAACCCCTCCCGGCGATGCCAGCACGGCGTGACCACTGCGTGGGTTGTATTGTTTTGTGCAGTTGATGGCCGTGGAGTGAGTTGGCGTCCCAGTTTCTGTGGACCGCCAGGTCTCCAGGTGGACGTGGACGTCGGGACGTTCACCCTCACGTGTCACGTCACGAGTCTGGCCTTTGGAGCGGACAAAAAGGTGATGACATCCGTCGAGGATCTCCTGCGGACGTGGACGGAGGAGATGCTCCGCATCGATGAACACCGCCGCCAAAAGGATCGTAGCAATCATCGCTCAATCGATTTGTCAGGTAGTTATAGTCAGTGAACCTCAACTCACTTTCTGTGAAAGTCAGCATTTTCACAAACCTCTCCGAGTTTATCCAAACCACAACAGCTTTGAACAATTCGGCCACATTCAAAGTATTGTGGTTACTGTGATTTTACGATGAATTGGTGTGTTGGTATTAAGAACACAATAGAACACAGCCACACAACCAAGTCAACCCTCACATTCTATCTGATTGACTAGGAGAGCTTCATAATGCCATCCTCATCATACTGCCATCCCAATTGCTGCTAATATATGTTTTTCAACTCATGATGATGGCTTAGTTTCTGAAATACTTTCATCAATAGGCCTTGTATGACTGTTGTGTTGCAACCTGTGTTTCAAGCAAAAACTCAGAAAGCATGTAGGGTTAAGGACTTATAGAATTCCCAAACAAAAAGAAACAAACACACACACACACCATCAACACCAATCATTTGAGAAGCTCAAAAGTGAACTGATGGTAGTAGAAGGGCTGGCCCTCCCAACATAATATGAATCTGAACTAATCACAGCTTATTGTTTGTCTCGTGTGTCCGTTGCCTTTTCCCCTGTCAGGTTAGGATCTCTCGAATTGATCTCAGTTCAAGTCCGCCACCGCTTCCTCCAGCCGTTCATGATGCATTATAGATATACACCCAAACTCAAAGAGAAGCAAAGAGAATCTCTGAACCTGTGAGAATCTCCAAACAAAAACGGCCGTTCTTCGTTTTTGTTTTTAAATCTCTCACTCTCCCTCTCTCTCTATCGACTCTCTCTCCCTCCCCCTCTCTCTCTCTCTACATATATGGTCCCATTTGGTCTGCTTGATCCAAAGGAACATTGAATGAGATTCAAATGTTGAGCAAGAATAGTGTTTTCTGCTTTAGAAGACACATGATATCCATGACACTGTCACACCCCCCCACTTCAAGCACCACCACAACCTTCTTGGGCAGGAGGCCATCGTCAGTACCAAAAGCACATGGCGCTGTGTCAGTTCTAAGGTCCTCAAGAAATAGAAAAGCCAATCCCCCAAGTAAGACCTTTGCAGGGTGCTTGCCTTATATATATGTAACCATGTCTAAGCTGCTTTCCAAACTGAATGCTTCTGCAGATCCCTATGTACTTCTTGAACTCTTCTAACTGGTCGCCCCTGGCATCGTCCTCCGGCCGTTCCAGGACACACGGACGACCCGAGTCAGTGAGTTCAACGCTGACCTGGACGACATCGGCGCAGGTCAGCGTTTTGTGCTCCCATTTCGGGGTGAAATGACCTCTGGGAACATCAATAACAGGCTATTAGTCATTAGTTGATAGGTCTCCGTGTTTTGTTAAGTAAATTGAAATACACGCTCATTTAGCTTGGGCAAGAGATCCCTTCCAAATCAGCAACATTGTAATAGTAGACTTGCGATCGGGGCAAATGGATAATGAACACATTTATTTATATTGAATTTCATCCTACACCGGGCAACAATATAGGTACACAACAATGTGAAGTTCAAAGTTGTAGAAGAACGAAGATCCTCTAGAAAGTAGCAAGAATCGCAGGAAACAACCTCAGCTTCCTGTAAGAACTCGCAAAACTTCCTCCAGCAAGTGAAGATATGAACAAAAACGGCAACTGTATTGCACTAACTACACACAGTCACACAGGGGCCAGCTCAACTGTAATCCCTTCAACAACTAAATTAATGTGTGTAAACAACTACTGCAATATACTGCAATATATTTGGTCGTGACGTGCATTTCCCGAGACATAGACCTCATCCTTTTGGGAACATCCATGTCAGGGGCCTGATTAGATCATCTATTAAAAAGAAAACTCTATAATTCTCTCTCTCTCTATATATCCATATTGTTCTTCCCCTTGCAATGGGCCCAGGTTGTTGAATTTTGGCTAACCAATTTGTTTGCTCAAGCTCCATCGGCGCACAGCTACTTGGCACTGCCAACATGTTTGGAACAAAGGGATTCTCCCCATATGGTCATGAAAACTGGTTCCCAAAGCTGCAAAGGTTTGGCATGTCACACCATTTCGAGGGAAATGCTTGGAACCGATGCTGCGAACAAATGCTCAATCTCCCAAATTGACCCTGGACATCTGTGTCGGTTTCTGCCACAGCATGGTCCTAAATATAACTGCTCGCGCCAGGTCGCAGTTCTTCTTTGAGGTGCCCCAGGATCCTAGATGATCCTAGTATCTTCAGCACACAACCCCCCCGCGGTGCGTGAACGCGCGCACTGTGCGGTCGACCAAAGACGCGTCGACCACGACGCTTCACACGCCTCGGAGTCTTCGGCTTCGGTGTCCACGTCCAGCGCGGTCCGGGAGCCTTGCGGGCCGAGCGGAGCGCAGTCCTCCGCGCTCTCCGTGGAAGGAAGCGATGAATCGAAAGAAAAAGAGAAACGCATCTGTCACGATTGGTATTTTGTTTGGTCTGGTTGGTTTTTTCAACGACTGAATTGACAGAATATGGAATTAATGAATCGTCACATCAGGCCACTCCGCCGTTTGAGATTCCGTGGATGTGGATGTGCACCGCGGGACGTTGAGCAGTGGGGCTGGCGCCTGCATCTTCGATCCTATTGCGGGTAGAGGGCACACATGTAAACAGATCGTCAAAGGTCCCAAAAGGCTCAGAAAGGACCCTAGGCACCACCAAAGGATGGTTTATAGACCCCCCCTGTGACGATCTATTTTCCATCTAATAACATCTGATAATCACCCGTGGGTGCTGGTATAGGATCAGACCGGGCCGGGATCTGGTGAGTTTGGACCCTAGACTCTTGGACACCTCTATAGCCACCTTTAGCAGTTGCTTCAGGCAGTGAGGTCGAACAGGATCGACTACTCTGACCTAGTGAGGACTGGGGGAGACGCCCGGTTTCTTCAAGCATAAGAGTAGATACCGGATGAGCCCAAATGAATCCAAATGAGGGATCTCTGTTTTGATAGGAAGTGTGTTTAAACATCGTGGGGGTGCTTGGTGATCCCAAATAGAGGACACACAGGTTCTAAAGGTCAACTAGGAATATGAACCCATCAGAAAGCTTCACCAGTTTCATCCAGCTTTCCATCATCCTTTTGTTTCATCCAGTTTCACCCAGCATTTCGCCATATCTTCTCCAGGATGACTCCAACCTGCTTTTGTTGCAGCTGGAACGCAAAAAAGTCCGCACAAACAGTCGAGCCGCCTCCTCGAAGAGCACTCAGTCGCTCGTCCTCCTGCCGAAGGACTCGAGGTGGAGATCAAAAGATCAGCCCATGGGTTAGTATGGGTGTGACATGTTCAGAGGATGAAGGAGTATGGGAAAGGGAAGTTTTTCCCCAAATCAGTATTTACTCCAAGAAGATCCCCTTAATTTCTCGCCCTGGCTGACTGGTCTATTTCCCTTCTTCCACGTCGAACAAGGAGGTCTCCCGATGTTAATACGGGTCTCCCCTAATTGATTATCATGTTCAAATCACAGTCTTCGCCCATCTTCGCAACATCCGAAGAGAAGTTGTGGCGCCATGAACTGTCCGCTAAAAAATAGTCCCCAAATACCAATGGCTGTCCTTCTCGGATGGCATATGGTGGTGCCCTGACTGGGCGCCATGGTCAATATGGTCAGAGTTGTGGTGCCCTTTTCGGATGGTCTTGGAAGTGAGTACGTACTTCCAATCATCGAACTGGGGCGCGCCCGGTGCTTTCGAACATCTAGACGGCAGATTGTCTGGTGAACCGGTTTCCCCTGTCGACCAGTGTTCCATCCCGGACCTTCCTGGACCATGGCGACGGTCGAAGCCGGTTTGAGTCCACCTTCAGTGCTACCTTTGAATCCTCTCCCGTTTGATCTGTCCCTTCGTCCTCGCTCCGAGCAACATCAGCGGAATCCCCACGTGCGGTGCGGGGTGCAGCGTCCCTCTTCGGATCGTCCCTTCGGATCGTCCTTCTTCCCTTCCACCAATGGAGATTCCGATTCGGGGACCTCAGGGGCGAAGGCCGCGGAGGTTTGAGGTCAGGTCAGGGGTGGAAGACTTCTATAGGGCGTGCGTGCTTCCTGCTACTGTTTCTGTTTTTTTTTTCAACTGCTAAAAGCTGCACTCTGCTCATGTCATGATCTCTTCTTCCTACTGATTCCTATACTTTCGGCACCTCTGCTATTATTTCAGCAGGGGCAGCTGCTTCAGTGACTGTGACCCACTTGTCCCCTTGTCTCCTTCCAAGACGAAGCCTCCGCTGCCACCAAGCAACCTCGTTCACGGCTTTTTGCCTCAGAACCTCCCGACCTCAACACGGCCGGGTTGCCGGAAGAGCCGGTTGGGGACTTCAGCAAGCGAATCACCACATCTCAACAACCTGAATGTCAAGCGTCCCAATCAGCACAGCCGGATGTATTGGATCGATCAGATGTTCACAGATCTGGTTCTGATGGGATGATGTGATTTCTGACTCTCGACAAACCTCATATGGCTATGAGTCAAAACCCGGAGCCCCAATCCTTGGTAGGTTGACCTCCCAGGTAGTCTATTCCGTCCATTTTCGTGGTCAGCCAGGGTCCCCTGTTTTTGACCCACAGCCATATGACTTAGAATGACTTCGATGTGTGTCAAACTGTCAACATCTGCCGCAAACTGTTCACATCTGCCGCACATCGCCCTCTCCATGAAACCCTGGACCATCGCAATGACCCAATCTTACCAGTTCAGAACATCGCAATTACCCATGTTAGACATCGCTGCAACCTCTAGTTTTCAGATCTCTTCCGAATCCTTCATGCTTGGGATTCCTGGCCAGCCTCCAGCCGAGCCCGCTCCCAACCCGCTCGCTGGGCGCGGCACTGCGCACCGCCGAAGCTAGGCGCCGTATCCGCTGCCCCGGCGGTACCGAGGTGTAGCGAAGGCTGAGCCTCGCGAGGTGTAGCGAACGACCCGCGGTTTGCCCACGGTGCCTCTGAGAGGCTTTGAAGGTCTCCAACCGAAGAGCGATGGCCTCACTACCAGCTGCTTCCGTCGGTGACGTGGCTGGAGAACCCCACACTGCTTAAACAGTAGGTCACCAGACAGGAAGCGCTAGGTAGATTAGACCGTTCTTCTAGTTCTTCCTCTTCTTTTCTCTTTTGTTTCAAATAGTGATGGAATGTGATGCATAGTCTAGTGATGGCCTCCAACCGACCAGCGATGGCCTCCCAACCGACCAGAGCGGTGCCTCTCGGCTTTGAAGGTCTCTTGCAAGTCTTCGATGGCTCGAGGCCGAAAGGGCATGTAGGCGCCCTCCTGGTGGATATGGTCTGGAGTGAGCTGACTGGCTTCACAATCAAGATTGGCTATTCAAGGTTTAGGGGTGAAAGAGGTACATGAAGTCACTGCGAAACATGCAGAATTATTCACATCTTACCTTTTCGGATGGGTTGACGGTCATGCAAACAAACCAGCCAAACCCCTCCAATCTTTCACTGATACCAGTGGCGACACATCTTTCCGCCTCGTTTTTGGGGTCGGGACTGGCTCACCAGCCATCGCCAGATCGCTGCCGCTCCCGGATCCTAGGACCCTTGACCGTTCCGTTTGTGTCAAAAGTCCTTAGATGTCCGTAGTACGTTTGGTAAGACCATTGGAAACCAGATGCTTGGCCAATCCCAGGCTCCTTGGACAATGGTTCGTAGATGCTTGCGAAATCGTCCTCCTCGGCGTGAGGCCGTTGCTTCTCGCCAAACGTGGCAGTTGCGGCTCGTTGTTTCTCAGAGTCTTGTTTGGGGTGATGGGTTTGACACACAGCTACACACACCCAGAGCGGCCTCAAGCGACTACCTGGACCATCCAATTTGGGTGCCCTGGCTGGAGATCCCAAAGTCAAGTGGTGGGCGTTTCGTCCAGCCAGGACGCCCAAATGGTCGGATGGTCCTGGTCACAATCTGCAAGTGATCCACTTTGAGAACTTTGAGAACATCCCCGGAGCCCCTTCGAGTCGAGTTGCTTGCGACGTCCGTTTGACTTCAACGGATAAATCCGTTGACTTCACTTGGTTCGACTCGGGGCAGGAGAACCTGTGCTTTTTCCGCCACAAACAGCCAACAGCTACGACATCAATGAAAGGTCGCGGCAATAAATCCCTCTTTCTGAGACCCAGCCATCTCAAGAAGTCAAGTTCAATCGAAGTGCGTGACCCCTTTCCGCTTGCTTGATCTTGCTTGTACACTGGTTGAGGACGTCCAAACTCTAGCCTGGTGAACAGAGGCCCAAACTAACCTGGCATGGCGGGTGACTGACAATGAACCCTGCTAAAAACCATAGACAAATATCTGTTATAATATGTTACACAGTACATAGAAACATTGGCTCATATCTATATTATGTACACAATGGTGTTTTTCGTGCATGCGGGCGACCGGCCGCCCGGTCGCCCGGACCGGGATCTCCTTCCAGGACTTGGTCGACCCCCCCCAAATCGGATGGACGATGGTGGACCGACGCGTCCTCGATTTTCTTTTTCCGAAGACCACACCTGCCGGGCTCCCCCACGTCAGTGCCATTGCCCTGCACACTCATGACGGGACGGGTGAAAGTGGATGGAAAAGCCTCCGCGAAATCTCCGAAGCGCCGCACGGTACGCGCGCTCTGCGCGTGGTGGGAGTTATATGAAACATCATCGATGTGGCATGGTATGTGCGGATCTGTATTTTTTTGCGATGTGGCACTGGAATCACAGGAAGGCAGGCATGGAAGGCATGAATTGATGGATTAACACACGGAATATTGGATGGGTCTGCAGACTTTGTACATCAGGTGTTGAAATGGAGGTGCTCTAAGACGAACAAAGCATGAGTCGCCATACGAACCGCTGTTGAACTTGTGATCTGACTCACAAGAGGTTCATTCAATTGCATTCGTACATTTAGAGATTTTCTTTTCAGTTTGCCATGATTCAAATGAACGTGACATATATAATTAGCAACATTGCTGCAGAACCACTGGTCACAACATGTCACAACCACTCACAGCTTGTGCAAATTGATGCAATTTTGCATCAACTATTATATAAATCAATGTCAAGTGGATAGGAGACCTTGATCACCGCAGAGTATTCTCTGAGGTGCACAGATTTTGCCCAATCACCATACAAGGAGGTTCTTGAAGGGCCTTCCCTTTCCTGGTCTTGCAAGACTATACTCCATCATACTCCATCCACATTTTAGTTGAGGACTTCGGCAAAGATGTCTCATGTCTCAACGACACCCTACTCATCCAGTCTCCAGTCACCTAGTCCAGCTGGAAAACATGACGCAGTGGTTACCTACCATGTCAACGAAAACTCGTCGCCCAGGGCCCAGTTCTTGCACTCCTGCTTGGCCAGTACCCTTCGGCACGCCAATCAGAACTTCGGAGCCTCCGGTGCACGGCGCAGCACCGGTGCACGGCTCGGATGGATCGATCGAATTCGATCGGTTCTGAGATGTTTAAAACACCAAGGGTCCGAGTCATTGCATGTTCCGAAAAAGGAACGCCGGCGCTGCTTGGTGGCCAAAAAGCAACTCAAGACATCATTAGACCATCTGCTTGATTGGTGTGCTTGGGTGCTTCCCTCCAAAGCGTACCACAGAGATCCACCAGAGATTCTGGGAGCCCTGAAAAACATGTTGCCCTAAGAATCTGGGCTGTCAAATATGCGAAGAATTCCGGGTCCGCACCCGGATTCTTAGAGGGAGCAGGTCGCCCTGTGATGGAGGGTGCATGGATTCTTAGGGTGAACAGAAATCCATCTACTTGGGCAAAACCTGGGCATGCGAATTTGATGGCTGAGGCAAACTGCCCGACAGTGATGGTTACACTCCCTGACATATTCATGGAAGTGGATGGCATGGTCTCGAATGTTTACCCAGGTGGTTTTCACTCCAAGAAACGATGATTCTAGAGAGTGTAGAAGCTCCCTCCATTCAGCAACCCGCAACATCTTCGCTGATTTGCTGGTTTTGCAAAGGTGTTCTTTGAGAAAAGTGACCCACCCCTAGCAATTAGATGTCCGCTCTCCAGCAACCGCCCATTTGACGCGTCTCAGCCTTTTTTCGTGTCGGTCGTTTCTCGGGCGCCCGGACAGCCAGGTCCGTTCGGAGCGGCAACCCCTGGAGCGAATCGAGGAATTCCTGGCGCGAACGGCGAACGGACACCCGACACGTCGCGACCATGTCCGGGAACGACCATGGTGTTAACGATGGGAAGGACTTGGTGTTTGTAATACCCCGGGCCTATAGCAAAACAAGTGGCTTGAATCCTAGGGGATATGTTATATACATAATTATACATTACCCTAAGAACCCTCAATTGAAAAAGGTATTGAATTGAAAGGTCCAAACCCCTGCTATGAAGGGTCCACGGAATGTCTGGGTAATAGTTTCATTTTCATGGAGTACATGTAGAGTAACTATATACAATATATAAATAATATACAATAGCCAGGACCCTCCAAGGGGTGCCCAATGGAAGCCTATAGGTAGTGTGGGGTAGTCCATTAGACACCCCTTGGAGGGTCCAGGAATATTCAAATACTTTATAGATATATGTCACTACTCCAGTCTCCTGGATGGTCGGGGGGCGGATGACTTGGACAATGACGAAGTGAAAACCCTTGCCACATGGAGGTGGAAACCACCACCCCATCATATCCTATCCACCCTGTTTGGTCATCCACTGATGTTAGTGAGTCGGAGGTACTGAATGGATTGATGGGCACTCTGTGGCTATGGATTTGGTAGTTCAGTGGGTGGACGTAGGCCCTCATACATCGCACCGAGTACAGTCCGTCGGTGGGTGGGTCGACCTCGGGATTGAAAAAACACATCGCATGCCTGACATTTGATTTGAACAACTTTTGCTAAACTTGTCAGGCTTTGGCCGTTTGGCTGTTTGGGCTCTATGCAGAATGCCTTCAATGCAGAATCTACAAGTCTTAGGTGACTCAGGTGTGTAAGCTTCAAGTCTTCCCAAGCAGGCCAACAAAAAAGGATTCTGATTTCCACTTCCGTCGCCGTAGACCTCTCATCCCCGCTCCTGAGGGTGAAAAGACGCGACCTCTGGCTGTGCCGGGAGGTGCTTCGAATCATGGCACTTGGGCCAACTGCGGAACCACGCGACCGACCGACGGTGACCGACCCGAAGTGTCGCCGATAGCAGCACCCGATGCCAAGGGAGGTCGAGGTCTTGACCTGTTATGCATGATATCGGTTACACGAACCATCAAAAAACCTGGTCTTCCCTTGCAAAACACATGGTTTTTGTATATGAACACCTTTGTTGTTCATGGGTTTTGAGGGCCCCTGGTATATAAATATATATATATATATATCAGCACCCAAGTGGCAGGTGACCTAGATCCGGGATTCACGGTGTTCCTGGCAGGCAGTCGACGATGCCTTCGTATACGTGCGGAGTCTCATGGGTAGGACCAATATGGGTCCTAGTACCCCTTAGTACCTAGCCAATAATGGTAGGCCATATTAATTATTGCCCCAATTGATTTAATTATGGGTAGGCCCTTAGTACCCTAGCCTGTTTTTCTTGGGTCGTTCTGTCCCATTATTGAAAGGTACGAGGACCCAATGGTCCAGGTAGACGAGGACCCAACTTCACAGGTTGCCTGCCACGAAAAGAAGTCTCCAACAGACATAAAGAGACACCTGTATAGTCTCGTGCTGGGAATTTAGGTGTGTCCCATTACCCGGGCCCAGTGGATGATGATGGCCAGCTCAGAAAGTAGTTATCATCGTTTACCGAGTGTTACTGGTAATGGGACACATCCTATGTAGAATCTTGATCCACATCGCCATTTGCATTCCACAAAGCTCTTTGACATATTGTACAATTAACAGTCGACATTGGTACAAAGTGGATATAAGTTGACATGACCAAGCCTCCTGTAATCGTTTAAACTACGTTCTTCCATCTTCAAAAATACCATTTGCCCAGGAGTCTTAAACACCCATTGGAGGAAGCTGGCCAGCTTCTTCAGTCCTGTTTGTGACCGGTTCAGACCAGCATGGGATCGTTGTTTTTCGGTCACGAACCGAAGAACCTGGTGGAAGATGCTTCTCCTCAAGCCGCTTCTTCGCCCCTGGGCTTTTTGGACCTCACGTCCGAAACCGCTCAATCTACAGGTACGAAGCCTTCGCTGAAACATCAGCAAAGTGTCGTTCCTTTCCGGGACATCCGAAGACACCTCTCACTCTGAGTCAATGGAAAGATGACAAACAGTCTTGTAGACTCTTGATGATGTTTCACCTCCTGAAGAGTTTTTTACCATCCAAATGGGTGGGGATCCTAATCAGGAGCCGATTTCACTAGAATGAGAAGATCGCCGAACAGCCTGTATGCTTGGAGGCCATTGTAGACGTGAAAGGGTGTGAACCACAACCAGCTGCCTCCAGGTGAGCATAGAAGTGCATGCACTTGCTTTAAGTCTGGTATTAGTATTAGTACATAAATATATAGACCCCAAATAGATAGAAAAGTAGATCCCCACCTATATAGTTATTTGGGGACCACTATAGACCGTAGTCAAGCATTGACATTGAGGCATTCCTTTGGTGTCCACTCGCTTCCCGCGCCGATGAGATCTCGCGCGCAGTTCGGAAATCATGTGAAGTGCGTTGTCTCTTTGTCTGTGCCGCGGCAGAAAGGATCGTTGCACGCATGAAGAAAGGATGAGTTTCTGCCCCCAAACATGTCGGGTTTTCGCCGTTGATGGTTAAAAGTCCTCCACTGCGAAACTCCGTGAATCCATGGGTCTCCACGCACCACTCAGTTGGGGCCAACATGTCCAGCGTATCGATTGTCTTTGCGGTCGATATGTTTCCAAGATGTTCAAATCCAATTGCAAAGTGGAGGTGGTCAAAAACTCAATCCAAGCGGTCTTCAGGATGAGATGTCGAATCAAAAGGTCTGTCAGACTCTGTCACTAGCTATGCCCCATTGTCCTCTACAAACATACCGTGTCTCAGATGCCAAGTCTGTTTGAACAGCACCAAGTCTTCGAAACCCCCCAAAACAACATTCACACGACGTCTACAACAAAGGCCAAGTCATAAAAACACTTAGTAGATATGACATCCATATGGCTGTCGGTCTTTCAACAGGGGGACCCTGGTTGACCACGGAAAATGAACAGAATAGACTACTAGGGAGGTCAACCTGTACCAGGGTTTGGGGCTCATGGTTTTGACCCACAGCCATATCCAAAGCAACCAAATGTTGCGCGGTGTTGCTGTTCATAAGCTCCTGCATGAGGACCTCAATAATTACATTGGGGGTTGGAACTGTTCGGCATACCCAGCGTCAGGTATGACAAACCTCTATATACAGTAATACACCTAAATAAATATATTACATGCATCTTGTGTTTGATATGTTGCCGGATTGGCAACTAACAAAGTGAGTGGCGGTTGATTAGGCTAAAAGCTCCTGCTGCACCACTCCTCTCCGACCCAGACTTTCACTTGTCGATGACTGTCCATTGACTGTTCACTCTGTGTCTCCTGCTGCAACGACCCCGATCCTGACTACAAGTGAAACGGCCGACAAGGGATCCTTACAGATGCCAAGCAGGCCAAGCATTTGGGGCAGGCTTGTCTATATCCCGCTGCTGTGTACAAATCCCGCGGGGCACACTGAGAAAAAGGTCTCAAAAGTAGATGAAGCTTTCAGAATTCCTAGCGAAATTTGTACTTGAACATTGAACTCAAACTCAGAATCTGACATTGTCGAACAATGGACTTGCATATTCACCTCGAGTTGACTAATTCTAGCAACTGAACTTGGCTGCAAGCCTTTGATTGGTCAAGCGACTCATAACAGTCTCTCGGTCAGGTAACGTGACAGCTGAAGGCGCCGTTGCCAAAACAAAGCATGACAGCAATGTCAGCCTCTAAGGCATTGGAATGAAGAGGTTCTTCAAACCTCAACTGGTCACACTGGGGCACTCTGGCGCCTCCTTTTCTCCTCATCACTCACAAAACCCAGTCCTCCTTTCTAAAGTCTACCACTATATATCTTCTCTGAGGGGGTTGAAATTTTCACCCTAAGAACTTGTTGCACATGATGATGCCTCCGCGGGAGAAAAAAAAGACACAGCCGATCATGCACCGCTCTCCTGGAATCATGACGCTTGGGTTCCAAAGGCTGCTTCAATTTACAAATCACATGCAACAAACTATATGATACTGTATGTACAATATGTATATCGTAAAAAGGCGTTATAACCACCTACCAGCACCCAACTCTACATGTCTCCCAAACTTAGAGTCTTGGATGCTTCGGGGTGCTGGAGATCACTTGTCTCATTTGGAGAGGCTTCTGAACGGGCAAGGCGGACCTCAGTGTTGGACCTCGGTATGGAAGATCGGTTGCTGTGGTGGTTGGACCAAGTCGGAAGGAAAGAGATCCCCTGTAAGTGGTAGGCGGAGCTGCAGGAAGGCAGGGGTTCCAAGGTACGAGTTTGGTACAAGTAGATCCTCATTGCTTAGTAGGCTTAGGGAGGTATCATAATTTATCTCTATAGACCGGAACGGGACAATCGATAGATTGGCAGGGCACCTCATAGCAAACCTCTGCTCTTCTGGGCTTCTCCAACCAACCATCTTGGACTGAAATCTTGGGGCCGGACCCCAGCCTCGACAGGGGTTTGGACCCGAACCAAACCCTTTCCATTGGTTCGGGTCCAGTCTTACGGCAAGAAACCTAAGTGGTTTCCACTGAAAACGGGCCCCGGACACTGAGCATCGGCGAGTATCGGAGCAGAAGGAGCTCACTGCTCCTGGAAGGAGCAGTGAGAGAGTTGGAGGACGCAATTTTTGAGTGGCGAAGGATCGGGAGCCCAAAACTTGGGGAAGAGAAAGCATGGGTTTGAAATGATTTGAGTACTCTTTCAACTTCACTTTTTGGATGGTGAAACATGGAAGCACTCTTGCAGCTATGACTTGATTGCTGCCCTCAAAAAAGAAGCATAAGTGCGAACTAGCACCAGAAGAACCAACGGCATGTTGGAATGACACCCAAAGTGCAAATTGCTAAGATACAGCTCTGATCTAAAGCTTTTGAATGACTTGGCGCCCTTGGCTTCAGCATCCAAAGAATTATCCCCGTTCTTCTCCTTTCACCTCCCTTTTCGCATGGAAAGCCCAGTCGCACATGGACCAACGCGGAACCGCCGCGCCCGACCCGAAGCACCGCTCCCCGAACCTCCGCGCGGCTGCTCTTGCTTTGCTTGCTTTGCTTGCTGTGCTTACCTTGGCATCGATGGATCTCGAGTCCAGTCGCATACTGGGGTCTTCCGGAGGAGGCCAGCGGCAAACCAATCGAATTGAGACATGTCGCTCGAAAACTCACTTGGATGCACTTGGAGTTTCAAAGCTACCTCGGAAAATGGGTAGTCTTGTACCTGTTCTTTTGTTTTAACAGGGTCATGTCCCATGTTCTAAGGTAGATTGGAGTGTCCAGGTAGAAACACACTGTTGGTAAAGGCACACAGTTTTTTGAGGTGGCATGTTTTTCACATTGATGCGCTGCAAGTCAAAGGGTCCCTGGCTTTGGGTTGTTTGGTACAGTATTTAATCTAATTACATGTTTTCTTGGCCAACTTGGGACGACTGACACTCATCTCCCAATCGGTTGGGTGAACATCTACAGCCGGATCCACACCTTTTGAGAGGGTGATTGGAGAGACCTTGGAGAGGCCTCCAGGGTCCAAACGGTCGGAGCTAGGACTGGATCCAACCTAATAGCGATGGCCTCCAACCTAGTAGCGATGGCTCCCACCCTAGTAGCTATGACTGGATCCCCTAGGGCAAGCAATATCTCACTCCAGTCCCATGGTTTCATGGATTCGAAGGAGTAGGGCATATTCCTTCATCCACAAACATCAACTACTCCGCTCATGAAACCACCAACCGCCACCAACCGCCACTACACTCATACACCCGGGTTTCGAGACCTACTGAGGTCACCTGACGGCATGTCGCCCTTGTTTCTTCTACCATGTGGGTCTCTTCCAGGTTCCATGTGGGTCTCTTCCAGGTGTCAGCCTCGACTGTAAGTCCTTCGGACCAGCAACTGCTCTGCTTGCTCTCCTTGCTATTGACCTTGAGGAAGCGGTAGCAGAGACATGCGAGGTAGAAAAGAACAACACACTGGCTGTAGTATAGTGTACTACAAGTATACTACAGAAAACGAACTGATTCAAGCATATATCAGACTGGTTATAGAAGTATAGAAAACTTTCTGACTGATAGTGCCCAGGTGAGTTCAAGCGTATCAACGAGTTTCCAGGATTCCATGTTGGGTTTCCTCCTGCACCTCGGGTCAAACCAATTCTGATCCAATTCTGCTATACCAGGACATGGACTGCAAAGCAGAAGTGTCAAACCCTCAATTTGAAACGAAGTGAATCTGCTAGCAGAATATCTTAATCCCAACCCAACAGACCTGTCTCGGAATTCCAGCACAAATATCTAAAGCTGGAGCACAGCACCTTCGCTTGGAAGCAGTTTGATATGTATATAGCCTAGCAGACTAGGTCTGTAGGAAGAGTGGAGTTTCTTCACATTCTGACTCGTTTCAATGACTCTCTCATTCTGGAATCAATGAATGTTTCGCACCATTTGAGGCTGCAACCCTCTCTGTTGACCTGGCGATTTCTGGCAGGACGGCAGGCTCTCTTTCCGTCAAGAGCACATGTCTCAGTCAATCATAGCTTAGTAGGATTTACTAAATAGCATCTAATAGCTAGGTCGCTTCATCTACTGGTCCACCAAGTCGGAGTGCAACTGGATCCACTCCGTGTATGTGGCTGTTCAAGTGTGTGTGATTCAGTGAGTGTGCTTTGTCCATCTGTATCCAAGGTCTCTGAAACAGAAACTGTCACTTGGAGGTTGAGATCCAAAGTGTCAGACCAGGTGACTGGCTTTGTTGATATTATGTCACTTTGAGAATGGTCACTCAAGGCCATCGCAAAACACCGCCCTGGCCCAGCCTCCTGGCATCGGTGCCCTGGATGTGGGCCAAGGTTCAGGGTTGCCACGCCCACACCGGAGTCCCTCTTGATGGATCCGTTGGAATACATTGGAAGACCATGGGAATACCTATGAATGAACCCAGTTCTCCTACTGAAGAATCGGAATATATAATTACTCTGTTTCTTGTCACGCGCTTCTCGCTCAACAAGGTTCGACATCTTCCGTTCCAGTGTCGTTCAAGATCCCGTCGACTTGTCCCTCTTGAAGGGTTGAATATTGGTGACTATTACCCCATCATTGAACATCCCCACAGACTCCATGTATTCTGTACGTAATAAATACATTCATGAAAATGATTCATGGGTCAATGATGGTCAATGCATGTAACTCCTCCAGTTGCCATGGATCGTCTGGGTGAAGGTTTCTCGGTCTTAACTCATGATTTCATCCTTTTCTGGAACCCCCTTGCCTGCCCAACTGAGTACACATCAGCTGTGCCGTTTCCAAGGTTGCTCTCGTGTCAACAAGTACATCCGATGGACGGTTCCACATCTGTTTTGCTCGATCCCATGTGGTGGCCGATTCTTGGTTCTTCAGGAGGAGCTTGAGACTGGGATGATTCAAATTCACTCAAAGGGGGGTGGTGGAGTTCCGCTAAGTAAGAGAAGCTCCTGGGTTTACCAACAGAAACTCCCCAGGAAACATCCAGAAACTCACCAGGTCGATGGTTCGACCTTTTGTATTTTGGGCCCTTGCCAACCCTCGAACGAGGCTGGTCTGACAGTGAGGATGCTGGTGGTGAACATGCGTAGCAGATCGGAGCAGTACGCAGCGGCATAGCTCCTTAATTACCCCAGTTTGATCCGGTTTGGGATTGGGGTGAAGATGCAGGGTTCTTATTGGGACAGTTCAGGGGCCAGTAGGCCTCAACAAATCAGAAGCAGCAACACAACCACATGACTTCCTACTACATTGTATAGTATGTGCATTCTACCTGTATGTTGCAACTATGCAACATGCATGCCTTTTGGCCGTTTCTTTTGGATAAACTGGCCAAAATTTGCATAGTTGGAAGATCTCTATTATTCTGCAGCCACACTGCTGCTTCTTCTGTTCACCTATCCACATGTCTCGACACGCCTCTTCCAACTCAGAGCTTTTCGACACAGGCCGCTGCTTCTGGCCGAACATGGCAGTGGCCTGGCAAACGCAGCGGAAAAAACCGGAGCGGCAGCGGTGAAGCCTTTCGAGTTTCTTCCATCGGCCCATCTCCATCCAAAGTGAGCCCATGGGCCTGGCTCCCCCCCAAGAATTGGAGACAAGGCCCGGGCGTAACATCTCAAGACGCGCAGTGAAAGGAGCTTGTAGGTGAAAAACCGAAGAACGGAGGATCCAACTTTTTAGGTGCATGGTGAGTGGTGCATGGTGACCATCAAAACCTCACCCAAGAAGTGAAAATGACGTGGCACGTCTTCCTTTGCCTGGTGGACAGGGGTCCTCAGGGGTCCGGGGGGCATCACCTAAGCGTCCCAGACTGGAAAGCCTTCTTCAAACGATGGGTCCTTTCTTCTTCACAGAATCGACACTAGTTTATTCAAAGATCATGCAGGTGTCCTATGATTTGCAGGTGTCTACCCCCCTCAAATCAATCCAATATTTTTGGACTCAGTTCCCAAATGGGGATTTATAGAAGGCTTTGCCGAGCATGGTTTTTTGTTGTTGCAATTTGAGCCGGGAGTTCTCGGGGGGCTGTACATCTTTCTTTCAGCAGCTATCAATCACCACATTCTATTGGAAGGGCAACCCCCTACTAACTGAGATGTCCTGGAAAAGGATCTCCAGGTGTAAGTTGATCTATCCGGTCTCGTTTTTGACTCCTGGACTCAATATCTTCTGGTTGCCGCGGTGCCATGGTGCTTGGGATTTCGAGGATGGCAGATTCGCTCGTGTGGGCCGACGAGCGAATGCGCAGAACGTCCGGCTGTCGAGGGACACCTGGTTTGAACAGGATGCGCACAGAATGAAATCAAGAAGACTCTCCAACAATTCAATATGGCATGGCACTGAAGGTCCAAATTTCAGTGATTCACCATGATTTGGTCCAAACCCAAAACACTCCATGCGACTGGCATTTGTGACACATCCGGTCCCATGATCGTCGTGTTGGTCCAGTAACCAGCTACTGACCGGTGCTTGTCACGTCTGAAACTCTTTCGGGCCGTTTGTCGTTTCTTCCCTTCCTCTCATCACCGATCACCCGATATGACCGATCACCTAGTTCCAATTACAGTTGGGATGTTTTTGATTCCTCATTGGCACCAAATGGTGAGGCGAAACCCTCCATGAAAACGGCACATCCGGAAGCGAGCTCTTCGAAGAGCAGGTGTTGGGCCCATCCCTGTTTCCTATAGTGCTTTTTCTGACAGGCCCCATCCATCCCGTCAATGTCAAACATGTTCAAAACAACCGCGGCATACCGAACCGCACGGGCCGCGCCCAGAACTTCCCTCGGGTGCCTTCGAGGTCTTTGATCCTCCACGCTCCGCCTCCAGGGTCGCCAAGGATGCAGGGACCGCCAGGTTCCAAGTTTGGATCTAAAGAACGTAACGTGTTGATCCTCTGGTGGACCTGAAGATTTGGAGGACAACAACATTCTGACATATATGACACGGACTCAGAACGGCTGGAGACCTTGGTTGACCTGGCTGGGCCGGGTTGGACGCCTCGAGCTCGTCGGACTCCTCGAAGCGCCGCGCGTGTTGGCCCAGTGCTGCCGCGGCCGCCTGAGGATGCGATGAAGCGCCGATCTGGGGAGAAAAAACACACGAAGCATAATTTGGTCGACCGGCACGTTGCGAGGATTTTTCGTTGGGTTTCGGGAGACGAGATTTCGATTGAAAAGGAAGCCTACAGCCTTATATAAATGTCCCACAGACTTGGGCAATGGACATTGCATGACCACTAATTGGACGGACGAGCATCCATGGGGATGTTTCACTCTGGATTGGTCCAGATTGGGTATTTATCCACCAGTAGCACTGGATGATGGTTAGTAAAGGCCTCTTTCCTCCCCCAAAAATACAATTTTACCGACCTTTACTGGGAATGGCATACACACTAGGTCCAGGGATTTCCTGATACTGGTTCGCAGTCTTTTTTTTGCTGTACCATGCTGTACCTCTATATAATGAACGAACAGACCCGCAAACCGAGCAGACATTATAAACAAGCCAAGAAAACCGAGCCAAACACACCAACACTTTAAGTACAAAAAACAACATTCCCCACCACGGAGGGGTGGTCAAGAAGCCATCCCATCCGCATGTTCCACCTGCAAACCGAGCGCTCGAAGCTCGGTCTGGAATCGATCTTAAGCCCACCTCCATTTCACTCTCCTCCGCCAACTGCTTGGCATGTGCTTTCAGCGCGTCGGCCGCGATGCGTTCCGGCGTGAACCTCAAAATGTGATACGAGCCGTGGAGAAGTGTGATTTGGATGAGGAAGACGAAGACCGGGTTGAACTGGTGGGGTTTGGGGCAGAGTTCTTCGGATGTGCTTTTAGGTTATCTCAGCGGCAGGATCTTTGATTTGTCACCAATGATGCTTGGAAGTACTGCTGGGGTGTCTAGGGTGACTGCTTGTTTTACAACAAACTACTTTGATCCCCTTTTACTTGAGTTTGCTGTCTGTCAGTTTCACTTGGTGCTCAAATTGCCGAACATCCTTTAACCTTGGTGAGGTCCGACGCCTCCGATGATCGTGTCGCTCCAGCAGATTCTTATAGATTCATCCCATGATCCTCTGTACCCTCGAGAGACAGTGTTTTTCAAGTGGAGTAAGTTTTGGGGATTCACTCAAAAAGCAGTTCAGGGCCTATGTGGATACATTTCGCTACAAACCAGCCCTTAACCCCCGCATCTAAAGCACTAAAGGATGAGGGCTAACGAGAAGTGTGAAGTGTTCATTCCCAGCACAGGACCTTCAACAGGGGCTTAAAGCTCCTGAGACTGCTTCTGAGCATTTGCGCGCTTCTCCAATTGGTCCCTCCTGATAGCCCCAAAAGACTCATCGAGGAATGATAGATTCGAAGTTCTGTCATGGCCCCCCCTTGATTCATAAAAGCCCTCTGATGTGGATTGTAAAGCATCTTCATAAGGGGGTTTACGTCATCAAGAGTCTACACTAAATGGTTCAATTTGTTCCTCTTTCGCAGGCACTGGGCTTCCTTCCGGCCAGTTCTGCAGCTTCTAGGAATTGAGATGCATTGACTGATGCATTGATATGCATTGCGTCTCAGAGCTTCACCAAGATGCTGTTGCATATGCTGCTGTAGCGCCTTCTGCGCCAGCACAGTCCGTGGCGACACGGGAGATGGGGTGCCGTCGCTGTCACCATCGCTGCTGCCACCGCCTCGGGATTCCGCTGAGGTTGCGCTCGGAATCAGGAAGCTTGGTTCCCCTCATGTAGACTCTTGATGCTGTATTTCAAGCCCCCATATGATTGTGAATCCACGTCTGGGGGGTTATTCACCAAGAGTCTACATTACGGATGTCAAATAAGTTCCTGAGAAATGTCATGAGATTTCCACTAAGACTATAAGACTATCATCGTTCCGGGTGGATTTTGGAGCAGTTTCCCAAAGGATAGAAAACAGTTTAGAATCACCCATCCCAAACGCTCCATGTACAGTAACTGCCTTTGGGTGCTCTTGGTGGTGAAGGTAAGTTATATAGACCTACATGGAGTATATAAGTATTTATATAAGCATAGATGAACACCTTCCCATGGTTCGCATCTTGGGGTTTTGCCGATCCTCAGTACAATGATGCATAAGTGACGAAGTTGAGCGACGGACCCAGCCACTCAAGCCGTCTCACGCTGAAGAATCTGAAGAATCGTGTCGAATTCCTCCCAGTATTGCCAAAGCTGAATCAAAGTGAACCCCTAAAACATCCCTATAAAACCATCAATAACCGCGACCTTCGAGGCATCTCTTGGGGTCTGCGGCGAACACCCTGTGAGACCACAGCTGCGAACGCATGGGGCTTTGCTTGTCCCAGCCAGTTGGGTTACCGTGCACCGTGACCGTTCTGTGTCGAACGCACAGCACGTTGACCTCCAATGCGTTGACCTCCAATGACTCAGGAAATCGGGATATCATTAAAAAAACAGACTTCATAAATCACACCCAGTTTCGAAAAGAATAGGAGAAAAAACGTCTTCCAATCACCATGCAGCCCTGCAGGAATATATATATATATAAACCGTATGGTTTCTTTCCAACCTCACCCAGCTCTCCTCTGCTCGCCATACCCGTTGCCGTTGCTCCTCGCTCTGGGGCGCTTTCAGAGCCCTCGGGCGTGGAGGCCTCGGACCACGCGTCCTCAGCGGGGGACACGGGTGGATGGGGAAACGGGTGGAGGGATTGGAGTGATAGTATAGAGTCAGAGATTTCATCCATTTCCCATCTGAAGTACCTATAGAATGAAGTACTCTTTCGGATGGTCAGATACTTCATTTTTTTTTCAGGTGGAAGACAAAGGGAGCGAATGGGGTACCGAAAAAAGGGCAAAGACGACGTCAGAAGCCCCATCTGCTGACTTTAGGGTCTAACGAATTAACGGATTAAAGGCTCATAGATTTGAAGGAGTGGAGCATGAGACGTCTTAGCAGTGGTGTTGGCTTCGATCAGTTTCGGGAAGGATGGTCCATTTAAACGTGTTGTTACGACGGCCCTCCGGAAATGCTATCCACAAACACTTCCACCGGAAACATCCGGAAACGTATTTTACTGATAGGGAGAACAAAATTCAGCAAAACCAGGAGAAACAAAAGACTGGCATGCCTATCTGTCCTGTCTTTCAAAGGTTGTGAGAATCTGGCTGACGTTGACCTGAATCTTCTTGCTGCAGAATTGCTGTGTTGCTTTGAAACATTTGATTTTGAAACCAATATATAACCATCACTCCGTCACTCACTCAATCTCCAAGTGCTTCCTTGTGGTGTTTCACTTCCGGCCACAACTTCAACATGATCCTGAAAAGTTCTTTGAAGGAGAGGGCATCTCAACAGACTTGGGTCGTGAACTCATCAAACTTGGGCACCTTCCAGCCCAGGTAGTGCTTAAGCTGCTCATGTCCAAACGTAGTGCACTCCTTCAAATCATCATGGCGACAGGTGGAGTTCGGTCTTCGGATATCATGGTCATCCTTATGGCCAAGATGGGTGCCATCCAGACTAAACCCTTATGATTTCAAGGAGGTCTTGTAGCGAACATGCTCCATGTGAGTCATGAATTGCCGATCTTCAGGGTTAAACATCTTCAGCATGGGTCTAAGGTGTCACTACAAATGGAGCGCTACCGCGGTTCTGTTTGGTCCTGAAAGGTTCAAAACAATGTCCATGTAGGGTACTAACTGGGCCAACCATCCCCTCGTAAATCAACATCCGTCTTAGCTTTGGATTTGACAAATAAGACATCTGACTGTTCGGGCATCCCCTTCCCAACCACTGTTTGCCCAAGGCACGTCATCCTTGTCTCTGGGTGTGTCTGCCACCTCCCATGAGCTCCCCTTGCGGGACGCCTCGAGCGAGTCCAGACAGACCGCTGCGGGCGATCACGTCAATCCCGTGACCCCATCAGCAGTCGCCATGTGCGAAGGAGGCAGCGTTCGGTCCGTCCGTTTTTCCGATGACTGTGATTCAGAAAAGCAGAATTTGCTTTAGCATGACATAAACTTACCACGAACAACATATAGAACTTGGAATGGCAATGATAGCCAACCAAAACATGTTCATCCATGTTCATCCCACCTACAGTTCAACTTCTAGCTGCATCCATGCCACAGGTTAAAGTAACCACCTAAAACCCATCACAGCCCCTATTTTGATGTACGAACGAAAAAGTCATGCAGGTACATCATTGTTTCCTTTGGCCATCCCACCTGCTTCTTGGCCTTCTTGGCCATGGCCAAATAAGGATTTGCCTCCGTCTTGGCGTCCGCCGCACCCCGCAGCGCGCCATCCCGGCTTTCCTGCGGAGCATGGGGGGTGAGCACACACACACACACAAAACCGTCAGTGTGGCCCACCCAGGGTGTTGATCAAACCAAGAAAGCCTGTTTAATCAGAGATCATGCCCTGCAGATCAATGCTATGGAGAAGTCTCTGGTAGAATTGGTGGATGAAAACCATCAAAGAATCGAATCAACGACCGGGAAATGTGGTTCCTTGCATCCTGGAGGTACGAGCAGATTGTAGCTCCTGCCTCTTGATGGTCTGGGAACAGGCACCATTCTCGTGTTCCATGTCTCAACAAAACATATGTGAACATGAAGGTAAATCAACCAGGAATCCCAAACTGGCAGGTTCTCCATGGAGACGAACACATTTTCAGCCAGCCATCAAGTCCCAAAGAGACCGGGATGTCCATCATCCATCCATCCATCCATCCATCCATCCATCCAACCATCCAACTGTCCGACTCTGAAGACCCTTCTCCGAGTCGTTTTTGTTGGTTTGTCTCATCTCGTCTTCCCCCCGTCGACACCCCACGATGGGCTTCTGCGATCGATGCGATGGGCTTCTGTGCAAAACCCCCTCGCTTGGTTCCAGCGGGTTTTGTGGGGGATCTGTGTCACCCCAAAAAGGGATCCACTGCCCCCTTCTCAGAAGGTACTATGGACGCTACTGGTAGCTCCTGGCCTTACTACTAGGAACAAGAAGCCACTAGTAGCTATTTGCTCCTACTAGTAGTAGTAGTAGTAGTAGTAGTAGTTGTTGTAGTAGTAGTAGTAGTAGTGGTGGCGGTAGTAGTAGTAGTAGTAGTAGTAGTAGTAGTAGTAGTCGTAGTGGTAGTCGTAGTAGTAGTAGTAGTAGTAGTGGTGGTAGTAGTAGTAGTGGTAGTAATGCCCTTTGCTACTAGTAGCGATGCCCTGGTTACAGGTGGATCCATCGAGTCACCAAATCGTTGAACATCGCACCTGCTCCAGGATGGTCGGGGCGGCCTTCCCTTCTTCCACGTCGGGCAGCACCTGGAGAGAATGTGACTGTACCTTTTGAGACGTCCGTAGCAAGAAGCGACAATACTGCGTAGGTCTTTGAAGCTTTCTAGTAACAAGAAGCTACTAGCAAGAAGCACCACACATACACGCATTGGGGATCATTCATCGTGTGCCAGTCGTGGGGCTGGGAGGAATGGATCCTGAGATTGCCAAGTCTTACTGATCTTCTTCTTCAAATCCACTCCGCAAGCCGCCAATCCCAGGCTTCTGAGGCGCCTTGGGGCACCCATCCGTCCATCCCCGAGCTAAGTAAGGCTTCCCACACACGAGACGGAAGTCGGGTCCGTGAAACACCGAAGAAACCAGAAATGCGACGTGCCAAACGTGTGTACCAGGGGGGTCACATGGAGTTGGGCGTGGCTCGTCTCATGCAGTGGATGTGACCGGGGCACCCCTAACCTCCGATCGCACCCCTCCCTTTGTGACTGCTGGTGTATCCTTGTATATCTCCATGCAAAAGACCAAGAAAACTCTGGTCAAAGGTGTGAACTTGTTCGACTGAGATTGAATCGCCTTGATTTTTTAAGGAACCTGAAGGAACCGGGAACAAACATTTGCAGAAATTCCTACCACGTGCAAATGGAGGAGGTTGGTTGACACATGATGACCAGCCCATTGTCCCACAATCTGGTCTAGGTTGGTCAGTTGCCCAACCACTTTCTTGCAGAGTTCGGCCCATCCCATAGACAACGCCCAAGTCTTCGGAGTTTGGCTGCCCGATCGTCGCGCGAGCGCTTTTCGTGCGCGGTCTGCACCTCTCGCTTCCGTCTCCGGCGCTTCACCCAAATGCGCACTCCGACGCCGCAGCACAGCAAAGGCACGAGGATGAGGCTGAACCAAAACCAGACCTTTTTGGCGCATTTGGGCGGTGTAAAAGAGTGTTTGTATTCAATGAGGCAAATGAATCAATAATAGATCAAGCAATTAAACAACATATAACACATATTTATGTATATATATATACAGATAGTAAACATATGTATGTACTTGGTCAAAAAGTATGCCCATCGCTGGTACAACTATATCTGATATATAAAAAGAAAGAAACGCCCATCTCTGGTAGTCTGCCCTAATCAAATGGGACTCTTGAGCACGATTCAGGTCTTTGTGTTTTTGTGCACTTTGGATGACGGATCATGTTTTACATCAGAACACGTTGACCGCTCCCTTCGAATACTGTATATTGTCGTCATCAAATAACATTGATGCAAACCCTAAGACCAACAAAAACCTACACCCTATATATATTATAATATGTTCGTAGTTTGTTGGTGGGGGGCCTGGTATCGGGTAATATATATATATATCCTCGAGATATCACCAGAAGGTCCAGGAGTTTGAAAAAGAAAAACAAACATCGCTGCCAATCCCGGAAAAAAATAAACAAACACACACACACAAACAACTACGCTCCAAAAAGCATCCCAACACCCAAATCACCCACATCCAGGACACGGGAGGAGTCCAGGGCTTCACAGCGGCTGCTGGAGGTGCTGTGGTTGACCAGCGTGGGCCCTCTACGTGGATCCCTGGTGGGCCGATCAGGTGAAATCGGGACATGGACATGAGGGAAATGGAGATGGAAGTTTCATGGTATCGGATGGTATCTGGTCCGCCAGGTGAACCTCTAAGTTACATCCGAACCAAAACCTCGGAAGCTGGCAGCGGGCCAGCGAGAGGGCACGGATTGGCCAGGCATGCCAGGCATGGGTATGATTGTGTATGCGTTCGAACGTGTCCAAAGACTTTGATGAGTCTCCGCGTCTTTTCACTCAAAGTGCCTAACTGTGGCGCTTTCGCGAGAACAGCGGACGCATGCGGAGAACAGGACCCGAGGGACCAAAGAGGTGAAGTAACTTGTGACGACCAGTCAAGTATGAGGTCTGCGAGATACTCAGGTCTAACACAGCTTCACTTACAGCTTAGGCTAAGCTATGTTGATTCTTTTCAAGATCTTCCTTCCGCAACACATGGCTCTGAAACACATGGCTCCGCTGGTGCACATGTCTTACAAGTCTGGTGCAGGTCCTGGGGACCCTTCTGAAGTGCCTGCCATCTTCGTTCAACAACGATGCTGACCCTTGGCCCGATCCTCGACTTCCAACATACAAGTCAGAGCTCCCAGCGCTGAGTCCCCTGAAAAAATCAACGATGCTTCGGTGAACAATAGTATAGGCTGTGCCAAAATGATCTTTGGGTATAGCTCATGACTATGCATTTATTTATACCGACCCTGTTTGAAGCTGGACATTGGAACACAAAACAACACCTACAGGCATGTCATCCTGTCCCATGCTGCATGTGCGGCATCACCCGCCTCCACCATCGGGCACCACCACGATGTTATTGTGCGTGGTGGTTGGGATCAGCGCAATGGTCGTGGCGGTGGTGGTGTACAAGGTAGTCCGGGTCGTCGGCCTCGGACCACAGGCCGCCCCATGGAACGACTGACTGCCCTTCTGGAGCGACTGCCCAAGGCGAAATCGCCAGGTGGGCCATGGCTCTTTGGGCGATGACTTGAAGTCTTGTGGTTTGGCCCCAGGATGCCTTGATTCATGATTCCGATCCGGAATACATCAACATTATGGATCACATCAACCAAGTCGCGAAGACTGCAATTCTTTCGTCTCCAACGATTCAACGACCCATCGATGAAGCTTTGAGGATTCGCCCTCGGATTCGACCCTTCGGCAACGGATGGGGTTTGATCGACGCCGACGCATCCCGCTGATGGAGCCGGAAAGGCCAGCTAGACTACTACAAGTACTATATCCCTACGTACGTCCAGTCTGAGACTCGTCATTGCGGATTGTCCACATCTGCCCAAACCGACCACATCTGCCCCGCTGAGGGGCGGAAAGGTACTGGTTGCTGGCATCTGTCCAAAGATCGGCTGGAGATTGGCACACACACCATCCTGATGGGCTTTCTTACACTGACAAGTGTCAAAGCGAGGGATTTGAAGCATTTGCAAGTGGCCATCTCCGTCTTTTTTGACAAATGAACAGGAGATAACAGGAGTACAATCTGAAAGTGGATGTTTGTCTCACTTTGTCTACTCTCAAAACAATGTATTCGAGATCGCAGGAATTTGCAAGCAGCCTCAGACTCAGCCGACTCAGCCTCAGACTAGAGCTATACACATCTACCATGATATATGCCCGCTAACTCCTCAGGCAGCTTGTAGAGGACGTCGGTGACACCCTCCAGCAAATGCCTAGGGATCGGATGTGGAGGGATCGGACCAGAGTCTGGGAGCGGAGCGTGGGACGGGACAGATTCTATAGAACTCCGCCATAAATCCATGACTTCCAGTTTGGATTCACTCTCAACTAGTGAAGAAACCCGAGGTCACGGATAGAAACCAGTACGCTTGTCCACTTTCATGATTGTTGCGGGTCGGCCGTACTCTTTCTACTTCTTCACACCGGCAGCAGGCAGCTCAGGTGCCATGGTGGGCTACTGGTCGATGGAACGTTGATCTCGAAGAGGAGCCGAATCGTGGTTCCACTGTCAAGGTTCAAAAAGCGCGCCGTCGTGCCATCTCGCGCAGTGAGGATCCAAAAGCCTTCCACTGGCAAAAGGGCTCCGTGAACGATCCTCAGTTAAAACTGCAGGTGTGGCATGCCAGGAGGAAGACAAGTGGCAAGTGGTTCAATTCAAACGGGAGTGAATCAGCGAGATAAAAGATCATATCTGATGTGTATGTACTTGTTGAACGCACCTCTTAGATGAGAAGTACAGTATCCGGGAAGTTGCTATAAGGCTGCGTGGCAAATGCGCAAAACTCGAGGAAGCTAGGCAGGTGCTACCTGTACAGTCTTACCTCCAATTTTCAACACATATGGCATTATGTATATATATATATATCATTAAATTATGTCTATTTATTGGACGATCTTCTTTCGTGCATGTTCCATGCTCCTCGCACCATGGACGAGCTGAACTCCAAAACCACCCAGTCCCCTCCAAATGTCCCGTTCTCGTTCTCAGCCTCAAACATAGGGGGCACCGAACAGACCATGGTGGATCACCAGGGCTTAAAAAACCTTCTGGAAAGGTACTCAAATTCGTCCCCTCCTGGCACCCAGCCCCCAAACACCTCTACCGTTTCACGCATGGGTCCCACGCCAAGTCGGCGCGTGATGTGTCAGCAATTCGACCCCAAACGTGAAACAGCGCGGAAAACAGTCTGTTCACTCAAAACACTCCAACCTAATAGCAATGGCCTCCACCCTAGTAGCGATGGACTCCACCCTAGTAGCGATGGCCTCCACCCTAGTAGCGATGGCCTTCACCCTAATAGCAATGGCCTCCACCCTAGTAGCGATGGCCCGTCACACGTCGACACGTCCAAAAATGCAATCGAAGCGAAGCGGCTCGGGATGCTTCTCCACGAAGAGCTCCCCCAGGGAGGCATCGCAGCTGCGTCGCTGGTGTCGAGTGACGAAGGGCACGGAGGACTCCATGGTGGGCTCGACAGCCTGCCGTCGAACGTGTTGGTTGGTTGGTTGCTTGCTTGCTTGGTTGCTTGGTTGCTTGGTTGGTTGCTGGGTTGCTCGGTTGGTGGCTTGGTTGCTTGGTTGCTTGGTTGCTTGCTTGGTTGCTTGGTTGCTTGGTTGGTTGCTTGGTTGCTTGTGCTTGGTTGCTTGGATGCTTGCGTGGTTGCTTGATTGCTTGATCGCTTGCTTGCTTGGTTGGTTGGTTCGTTGGTTGGTGCCTTGCTTGCTTGCTTGGTTGCTTGGTTGGCTGGTTGGCTGGTTGGCTGGTTGGCTGGTTGGCTGGCTGGCTGGCTGGTTGGTTGGTTGGTTGGTTGGTTGGTTGGTTGGTTGATAGGTTAATTGGTTGCTTGGTTGATTGGTTGATTGATTGGTTGGTTGATTGCTTGGTTGATTGCTTGCTTGCTTGGTTGATTGCTTGCTTGCTTGCTTGCTTGCTTGCTTGGTCGCTTGCTTGCTTGGTTGGTTGCTTGCTTGCTTGGTTGCTTGGTTGGTTCGTTGGTCGGTGCCTTCCTTGCTTGCTTGCTTGCTTGGTTGGTTGGTTGGTTGGTTGTGATGTGATTGGTCGGTCGGTCGTTTGGTTGGTTGGTTGAGCTCCGCTTTGAAAGATGCTCTCAGAATTTGATCGATTCGAACAGGAAAGTCCCCCCACAGTTCCCAGGGAAGCAAAGATATACCGAAAACCATTGGGTCAGGCATTGCAAATTCCCAAAGGCGGTAGGACTCATCGATTGGGCGCTCTGTCAATGTCATCGCACCAAACATAGAGTGAACCGTAGAACCATAGAGCCTAAACCTCCCCAGCCGCCCTATCCAGAAAACCCCAAATGAAGCAACTAATAACTATAACGCAGGTTTCTGCCTGTAAAACTGTCACATTTGTTAGTTTAAACCTATTTAGGAGGGTTGAGGCCACCGAACACCCCCAACCGGCCGGCCAGTCCCGGCCGTCTGGGTCACATCGAAGGCTCCGATGAGTCGCTTCAGCCGCAGCTCCACGTGGGGCTCCACCACCGCACCGCTGGGCGCTTCCCCCGTCTCCTCGCCCACGCTCAGCGGCGTCACCAGCTCGCTCGGCGACCTCGAGATAGACGCAAAAGCGAGCGCGAGGTGGGTAGGAATGGGTGGGGTGGCGCACCCAACCCAAAATGGATTAGCTATAATTAAACAAATATTGTATATATAGTATACATATGCCAGCAACATCCAGGAACAAGGACTTTTCAACTTCGTGAGTGCCAGTGCAGTGTTGAACATCTGGCTCCAAGGCGTTGTGACATGCATATCTCTGGAGGAAATGCATCTTCAGGGAAAACCATGCAATTAAAACCAAACCATGAGAGGACACTCAACTCTGGTCTCCTGGCTGAAAGATGCATAAATCACAAAGGCATAGTTCTGATCTTCATCGCGATCCTTCTGAGGATTTTCGTTCTGTGATCGAGGCCCCAAGCAGAACAAATCATTTCCCCACCGTGACAAGGCTGGTGAAAGTTTCAACAACTCTGCAGTCAGTGGTGGCTCTATCTATGCTGAGGATTGCGCTGAACAATTTGGTTTTCTATGTTTCCAAATCAACTATTTATCAGCAAACATTATCAACACTCCACAAACTCAACACCCCACAAGCATTTTTCATCCACAACTTGCACAGGAAAAGCCGGCTGGTTTGACCATTTGTGATTCAGCAGCCCACATTTCCCAGCATCAACAATTGTGCCGGGGCCTGCTATGTTTTGAATTGTTGAAGCCACATCATTGATCTGAGAAAGTACTTTTGGAATAGAGACTACTGTCGATATCTGCACTATCAACCTCATACATCCTCATCTCCTCTCCCTACACCATTCTGAGCCCCTCATCGACCTTCTCGTCCAAGGTACATCAAGAAGACCTTGGCTTCCGAGTGCATCATGAGGTGCGCTTTATTCTTAGGCACTTGGAGCCTGAAGACAGTGCTGCCGCTCTTCTTCAGGCCAGCATAGGTCACCGGATGTGAGGTGGCCGTGAGGTCAATGCGCATGTAGGCCTGGGCACCTGTGCGGTGCGCGACGTGCGGCACGCTGGGGTGGTGCAGTCAGTTGGACTGTGGGGCGAGTTAAGTCTTGGATTTGCGAAATGTATGAACAAAGAATATGAGGGCTCCAAGTACCTCCTCAAAAGGTATAGGTATGACTGGACCCTCTTGGCACCCACGGCGTTCCACTTGCTCAGTGGGACTTGGAGCCCTAGGGCATCGCTTGTTGATCGAAGAAGTCATGCAGTCGATTGGCGTTCAAAGCAACTCAAGGGTTTGGTCAATGACCAACTTCAGCCAGATGTTTCAAGTACTGATATGTATATATATATAGCCCTCGTCATACACCCCTATATATGGCTATAGATATATGTTGGGTGTCTGTGGTTGGCCCCAAAGGATCGGATAGCTGATTCTTCTGGCTGTTGATATTTACAAGGAGCGCCAGTCGCAGAAACCGGGACTAAAACATGAATGGCTTTGCCCACCAAAAGCGGAGGCTACAAGTAGTCACTAGTCACTGACTGTGTCAGTCATTCCCCACATGGGCCAAGGTACCACTCGTGACCGCCAGCATTTCTGCCTCATCAATGGCACTCTGAAGCCTTGGAGCCGAAACACGGCATCCACCGATGATCCCACGGATGGCACTGCTCCACCGGAGCAGCCGAACGGTGAAGAACCCATTGGTGGAGCAGCCAGTCTTCAACACAAAATAACAGTGAAGGAGTCCTGTGAGTCCTCATGCTAGAAGCAGCAACACTATGTGGTCACATGTGTTGAAGCTGCCACGAGATCGTCCATCCGCTCGTCAAAAGTACCAGTATTCAACATTGAACAACCATGAACGGGGTAGCTTTACTATAAGTAAACATATTTATAACACATACATTACATTACATTACACATCATTTATGGAATATGATTATATAATATGATCATGCATGATCATGCAATGAACCGGCACGTCGACGTGTATTAAACAAATTGGGAGACCTCCAGTTCGACCCCCTGGAATGCTTGGAAAACAAATTAAATCCCATTGGGCCAGCGGGTCTTATGGCAGAACACTCTTAACCAATCAAAGTGATTGGAAACCCTCACAGGATTGGAAACACCAGTGCAAAACAAAGCAGTGTTGGGGATAATATGTTGCACAAACCTTCGCCCTTCCGGTTGGACTCCGAAGATGCAAGTAGTGACTTCCAAGGAGCCCCAAAGTCCTACCTCGACGCTCCATGTCTGGCATGTATACCTACATTGGGGTGGTTTGGTAGGTCAATGTAGGCATATATTACATGGAGTGTCTGGGTTAGAGCCTTGAGCTGTTGAACAAAATTGTTCATTGAGTTGGTCACTTGCCTGTGCCACAAGGCAACCCCATAGCCAGTGGGCTCACTTGCTGGCAAAGCTCATGCTTTGACCCTCCAATTCACAGATATTGACAGTATGTTTCCAGGTGGTGGCCGTGGATTGTGTACGTCAAAGGCGACTGGGGGGCTTGTTCTTCGCCGCCAAGTTGGCCATGAAGAAGGAGCCAGAGCCGCTCCCCGCATCCCTGGGAGAAGCCGGAGCAGTCTTGTGACCCGACCGTTCCGCAAAGATCGTTTTTCGCGAAATGGTGCGTCGAACAGTTTAAGGTCTACTTTGGTTTCTATAGTAGCTTCTTGTTCCTAGTAGCGATGCCAGGAGCCCCTAGTAGCGTCATTGCTCCTAGTAGTAAGGCCAGGAGCCCCTAGTAGCTTCTTGTTCCTAACTAACAAAAATATCACGGTTTCTGTTTGGTCATGATGTTTCGGTACACTCAGTTGCTATTCTTGCTGCTGTTGTGCAGTTGCCATGTTGCTTTTGGATGCCTCCTTTGGTCCAAGCCAATCTGGCAAAATGTTTGTCGCACATGTTGATTTTGCATGATTAATTCTGTGGCAAAAGCTTGAGATCCTTGAAAGCCTCCCGCATTCACCCATGGCAAACAATTGAATTGTAAGATCAAGTCTCCAGGAATACCCATCAAATGTCCTTCTACAAAACAAGCACATCTCGACTCGGCATCACACACCCAGCCACTCATACTGCCACTCTTCCAACTGCTTTGACCATCCACGGAAACATGAAAGTTTTCCATCACCTAGATGCTCATGGACCCTCATATGGAGGGATCGGACCTACAGTAAACCCTTCGAAGGGGTCTGAGGTCTCAAATCCCTTGGTTTTGAGTGTCCAAGAGCAGTTTCACGCTAGCTATATATAGTGCATTGACTTCTCCATTCGCCCTACCCCTTCAGTTGCGCGGTAGCTCATCAAACCAAGCAAAGCCCTTTATCAAAACAGGGTTGCTATATACTGACATACTTGCTTAGACATGTTCGGGAACGGAACCCGCAACCTGTGTAGGATTTTTAGGATGTCAACTTTGAACGTGAGTTCCTCCTCCCAAAACCGTTCCAAAACCCCTGCTTCTGCCACACACACCTGCTTCTGCCGACTGCTCATCATGCTTCGGGCCTCGCCTGGTGCTCCAAGGGCTCCAAGGCTGTCGCCAGCTCCAGCCTGCAGGGCCCAGGAAGTAGCCTGGATGAGACCGAATGGGCGAGACTGGAGAGAGACGGGGATGGGGGTTCACGTGATCTTGGAGACCTGCCCAAAAAAGGCTGGGTATGGCGATTCATCCCTTGTCTGGAGGTATATCCTTAACTGGACACGGTGCAAAGACCGATGTATACTTGGAAAGTCGTTCACGGCCACAATCCCTGCTTGTTCCCTGCTGCGGCAGTGCATTGGCTTGCACGCGATCGGCTCCCAATTTAAAGTGTTGCAAGTTTCAGCTCTTTCCATGTAGTCACCTCGCCCAACTATTCTCGGGTCCCTACTCCCACCTCCCGCCCAACTACTCTCACTTCACCCGAGCGTCCGTCATCACGCTGCTGCGCCACCCAGGCGGCCAAGGCTTCGATGCGCCCGAGGCGGCGCCGCGCCAGCAACGACGCCGAGCGCCGCGCGGCGTCCAGGGCGCTGCGCAGCTTGGAGAGTTCCTGGATGGGCGGACAGGTCGAGATGTGGGGGGCCGAGGGCGGCAGGGGAAGATCGGTGATGGAGCTGAAAGAGCTTGGAAGCCATCGATTTTTTCTCAATATCATCTACCTCCAGCTCCACTCCGGATGTAAGTGAGTGAACCAACATGACATAACATGACACAAATATGATCAAATCAGTGATAAACAACATGTTCATTCGAGGCAAACATGGTCATCGTGCCCCAGATACAACAGTGCCAATCGCCGATGCAAGCTGTCCCAAACACGCTTCCTTTCTTGGGCAAAACTTGTCCGTCCAAACAAACATCTTCCCAAACACCAAACCTGAACTCTGTGTTAGAGACCTGAACTCTGTGTTAGAGACTTCCGAACATCTTCCCAAACAAACATCTTCCAAAACACCAGCAAACCTCCCCTAGCTTCCGTGTTTTGAACAGTTGTACTCTCTTCCCCAAACTCCTGACGCTGGTATACCCTAGAACCTGAAAAGCTAGTCTTCCAGTCTGGTCCATGCCATCAGGTTCCATGTGGATCTCTTCCCAGGTGTATGGTCCAATGCTGGAGTCCGTCACTGCCCTTCACCCCTCCGCGCCTGCCAATGCCACAGCGATTCTGGCTGGTCGCTCACGATGGTGACCTGAGTACAGTTCCATCATGAAACAGCAGCCAAACAGGATTTCTTTTTTGATGAGTGATCCAGTCATTCTTTTTGCTTGGAGTTGATGAGACGACAACAACACCAACACCACCACCAACAACAGCAACAGCAACACCAACACAACCATCACAAACCATAGAAACACCACCAATGGATGCATCTTCTATAGTTAGAGACCTGAACTCTGCGATGGTCGAGACCTGGGTCGATCGGCCGGGGTTCTTTCTCACCGAAAGAGAGGTTCGACTGGGGTGTGGCTATGTCAACTACACTCCTCAGAACTTACGAGGAAGTAAATCTCGAGGACGCTGTTTACGAGGAAGTGGGTGCCCATGAAAATTCCCCGGGAATAGACCACAAACAGGTAAGCCCAACCAGCAAACGAAATAACGTTTCATATAGTATTGAAATGAGGGATTCGGTGTGGCAATGTCTTTAACGTTTGAGGGATTCACCCCCTCATTTCATAGAAAGAAATTGACATCTCCATGTGTTAGTGCTCTGAGTCTTCACAGTCCGCGCAAAAAAAAAAGGGGGTCCCATGTCGTTGTGGACGCTGTAAGTCAAGCGCGACGTGTCGGGCGATGTTCAACAGCGAGGTCGGGGTCCTCTTCTTGTTCCGTTCGTAGTAAGGCCAGGAGCCCAGGTTCGTAGCGTCCGAACGCTCCGTGCGTAGCGATGCCAGGAGCCCCTAGTAGAGTAGCTTCTTGTTCCGATGTCACGATCTAGCTGCGCAGGTCTACCGGCCACTTGCTCCGATGGCAAGACTTCGGTTGCGAAGGGAATCACGCCTTGCACTATGGAGCTATCACCCACCAACTCTTGGGAAGCATGATCGATAGTGTTCAACTGTTTTCCGGATCGCAACTGGCGACATGCGGTGTATGGTCCTATCACACCTGGCTGCTACATCCAGGTCGGCAATCACAAGGCCCCCCTTTTTTTCTGGGGCAGGCAAAGTATTAGGCCCCTCTGACAGCACATGACACCTTGTTCCCAAGCTCTTTGTAGCTCGCAAGAACAAATCTCTCAAGTCAGGATTTCTGCCTGTGGGCCATGTCAAGACAGCAAATGGATCTTGACTTCTATGTCTTCCATGTAATGGAGTTCTAGCATGCCCGAAGCCTCATTGCGCTCATTGGACCCTCAGTTTGCTAGAGTTTTGACCCTCACAGCTGTAGATGTTTGGACCAAAAGCACATGTAGCAGTTGGTTTCCGGTTGCTCAGGTCGCCGATCGAATCAGGTCACCGACGACGAACCTTTTCACGTCCGGATCAGTCTGGACCCAGCCTTTTAAGAGTGAATTTGAATGGATAAAAAATCACTGGACATGAATTGACTAATAGGATTATCGTATCGTAATTAATTACTGTGATTTGTTATAACACAACACATCATAACACATCATAACAATAAGCGATATAAGCGAAAGAAAGCGACCGAGCCACGTTCTGCGGCGCCTCCGCCCAAAGGATGAGCCGCGAGAGGTGCTCCGCCAAGGCTTCGGAGGCCACAGAGATGGCGTGGGCGCGGCTGGGGAGGGGCTGGATCTGTCGGAGATCAACCAGCTGCAGCAAGAGCTCCTGGTGTGGCGTGAACGTTTGCTGGTTGGCAGGAAAGGGAGAGCACTTGAAGTGGTGGAGGCGCCGGCATCCAGGGGTGAAGTGGGGGGGGTGACACACATACCCATGATGATGATGATGATGATGATGATGATGATGATGATGATGATGATGATGATGATGATGATGGTGTTCATCCATGTTCGTCCTGGAACTGGTGAGTTGATTCCATATGTCACAACTGTTGAATCTGCCTTTTACAGGGTTTACCAGGCGTGCTGTATTTCTGGCTCAGGAGCCGCCCGAAAACAGCGAGTGTCTGGTCATTCTGAAGAGAGTGATCTGGAGGATCATGTCGCTTCTGGTCGCATTTCCAAAGATCTTCCCAAGTCCACTAATCAAACAAATCACCTGAAATCTTACAGATTTCGCCACTTCTTGCGGCTTTGCATGCTTTACCTTTCTATTCAATCCTTGAAGTGGAGAGAATCATTGATAATCTATTACACAATCAATGCTACGTATGAACCCAACGTCGATCGACATCTATTCTGACATCCAAAAACCATCAAAGAAATCCCACCACAAGATCTGAAATGCGCATACTTGACTCCCATTGACTCTCATACTTGTATGTGTCTACATACTAAATGTTACTGTTCATCACGACATCCTCACGCCATGCTTTTTCTAGATCTCCACCCCTCACCTCCCACCCACCTCTCCCAGTCTCCTCCAGGATCCGTAAACGTCCCCAGGCGAGGTCCAGCACCTCCGCGGCGCCGTCGCGGAGCCGCAGCTCCTCGATGCGCGGGTCCACCCAGGGGCGCACCGCGGAGACACCGAAGCCATCCATCACGTCCTGAGGTGTCCCAACACGCGCCGGGTGGGTGAGAAGAGGAGGATCAAGGAAAACGAGTACTGCAGTAGTTGAAGATGGGAGAGTGACTGGGTCGACCATTTGGACCATATGTGAGAGAGATCTTCCAAGAGAGAACCTGAATGACCTGTATTTTGGACCACCGATCACCCAAACTTATGGTCCTTTCTTTTCAGAACAGGGGTCAATGAATTGGTGTGTTCTAGTAGGCACATTTGCATGTGACATGGATGCACATGACATGGGGCACACATGATGTGGCTTGGTGATTGCAGAGTTTGGTTCAGCTTGCATGATTCCTCTTGGGCGCAAACATGGCACGACATACGTCAACAGAATAAATGGGATGGCAGTTAACAGAATAAACGTTTCAACTTCCCACCCCCCAAAATCAAAGAAAACGGCAATCATGTCCACTGCACGGATGATTGGAACGAATGCCTGATATGGACAGGTCCGTCTTACTCGTGACGACTTGTGACGAAAAGAGTGCGAGAATGAGATCATTGTTCTCATACGACCCCCCCCGAAAAAAATATATCAGATCTCCATGTCAAAAAATCACCCTCCAGCAGATCCAATTTGTTGCCATCAATCAAAGAGGATGGACTCCATCAGTGATCCTGTGTTTGGAGTCTTTGGAACTTCGCAATATTCCTCCGCAATTTGTTTGAACACACATGCAAAGAGAGACTAGATGTCTACCATGTCCTCTATATGATATATTTAATGTTTGATCTTAGACGCAACCTCTTGGGCTCCTTTGAGCTTTCACTCGTTGTCCGTTTTGGTCCATTCATCCTCACGGAACGCGCGACCAGGGCACATCCAGGATGACCTCACGCTCCAGGAACTCGGTGGCAAAGGAAAGGCACCAGCCGCGCACACTGCATGAGCGGGTGCCTCGCGCGGTGCGCGACCGGAACGGAAGCCTGAAATGATTTGAAGATTGGTCCGGAACCGCTTAGCCATCAAGATTGGTCCTTTATCGTTTTGGGGTTGGAAAAGAACACAGATCGTATCAGATCGTTCTGTTTCGATTGAATAGGCATGTCCTTTGCCGGAAGTCGTAGCAGGGTATGAGGGGCATCCAAAAGCATGATCTTGGACCCACCAAGTGCTTCCAAAACGCCCGAGAGGAACATACACACCAGTACCAGGTCACCAATTGAGACCTGTCAACAGTGAAATTGACCTGGTTCACCTTCGGAACGAGACCTGGCAGTGAGGAGGCCTATAGTTATTTCTCCTCCAACTCCACGGGGTTGGGTCTGGAGGCTGACTCTGGAGCCTGGTAGATCATGTTGCTTGGTCTGGCACGTTCGATCCCGGACGGGAGGGGTCGAGCTCGGGGCCCGGAGTCTCTGAGTGACCTTGGATTTCAGGATCAACATACTTTAATAGACGATGGGTATCAAATTCTTGCCTTTTCCTTTCACAGAGGAGGTCAGTCAAATGGGTTCTATAAAGAATGGGTATTTGATCATTTTTGTATTTGCCTTGGCCTTGGCCGTTGGAGCCGGGATTCCACAGTGCCAGTGACCACTCAAACACCCGGCGTTCGTGCTGACCGTCCCGCCTGGGTAGGAGATGTTCGGCAGGGCACCGGCGAAGAGCAAGGCATCTTCCCGGGCTAAGGGTTCGATCACCTGCGGGACCAACCACTCAGACCAATGGCTCGGACCGCGGGAGGTTGGTTGGAGAGGGATCCGGGATCCGTGGCCTGGGAGGAGGAGTGAGGGCAGATGGCCAAATGTTCTAAAAGCGGTCCAATCAATGATTGAAACAGCAAATATAAGCATAGCCATCGTTTTGGTGACCCTGCTTTTTCTACAAAAAGAACCATATTTAACATAACCTACAACAAAAACTACAACAAAACACAAATAGACTGATCGACGTGTTACATCCATGATAAATTAAGATTTGATATTGATGTGGTCCCCAAACGCTCCAGTCCGCTCCAGTCGTACCCTCCAGTCGAAGGTGGCACTGGGGTGAGGGTTCCGGAGGCCGTCTCGACGGCCCTCGGTCAGATCGGTGGCTCCATCGCCTGTTCCGTGAAGCCGACGACCTCGAGCAGCAAATGGCGCACGGTGGGCAGCACCCGGTCTAAGCTTTTCGTGGAAAAGCTCAGCCTGGAGCGAAACACGTGGAGCCCCGCACGAGGAACCGTCCCTGATTAAAAAATACAGCGACACACACACACACACTCTGACATTGGTTTTCAGTTAACTCAGTTCCCAGGGCAAAAATGGCGAAGGAACGGCAGGGTGAAAGGTCCGAAAAGTTGAAGGTGTTTGAACAAAGGCTGTTTCTCAAGTCTGCAGAAAGTCGGCGGTGGCGAAAACGAGTGGCGCAGCTGACGGCGGCAAAAGAAAAAAGTTTAAGGGGTAGGTATCATGAAGGACCACGAATCAAACAGATCAAATTGGACAGCGTGTTCAACAGTTGTAGCAGGTACGTTTGCAGCCCCCCCCAGTGGCCTCTTCGTTGGCCATCCGCCACTGGGGAGGGGGATGGCCCCCTGCTGTGAAAAAGGTAGAAGTTGGCAGTGAACCCTTTGGCACAGGGGTTGACACACACAGGTCGCCGTAATCGGCGCTTTTTCTTTTCAAAAACCGGCTGCAAGCAGTTGGGTGGTGTCCTTTTGGGACGTAGAGCTGCACTAGCTCAGTGGCAGCAGCGTCAGCGCTTTGGAAAGGTGTATGTGCTGATGCTTGTCGACGTGCTTGAGGATGTGCTGGTGCTTGTTGACGTGCTTGAGGATGTGCTGGTGCTTGTTGACCTGCTGGAGGATGTGCTGGACTTTTGTGCTTGTGCTTGTTCTGCTTGTGCTTGATGTTAGCGAGAACTGGAGGAGGTGGATGTGATGGTTGCTGTTGCGGATGTGCTCGTG